AGAAGAAGAAGAAGAAGAAGAAGAAAAAGAAGAAGGAGAAGAAGAAGAAGAAGATAAACAACAACAACAATAAACAACAATAAACAACAACAACAACAACAACAACAATAAACAACAATAAACAACAACCATAGCATAAAAAACAACAACCACAACAATAACAACATTAACAGTAGCAACAACAACAATGGCAACAACAACCCACCCCCCCCAAAAAAAACAACAACAACAACACAACATAAAAAACAACAGGAACAACAATAACAACAACAACAGTAACAGTAGCAACAATGACAACAACGACAGCAATATTACAGTAGCAACAATAACAATGACAACAACAAAAACAGCAACAACAACAACAACAACAGCAACAACAGTGAACCCTTCCTCTACCGGTCCACACAACTACACTGTACATTGTGAGGTGTCTTGGTGAAATCAGGCTCTTGTCCAAATAATCAAAGTGAAGAAACTTGCATTTTTCCGCAGGTTTATAAATTTGTATCACATTTTTGTTTTTTTTGGCTCAACACCTTTCATGCCTATTAAAGAACTCATTTCTGTGGACATTTTTCTGAAAAACGTTGATTAAAGGCACAAAAAATGTAAATTTCCAGTTCCCACGGACTCTTAAGCTAAGGAAATAACTAATCTTTGGCGGCCAATTTCTCACTAATTTTACCTCTGAAAACAGGTGACCCCCACCTCCTTCTTTCGCAAATATCTCGACTTGTATTCAAGATAAATGGATATTTTTTTCATCAAAATAATGACAATTGAACACGCTTTAAGATGATACCAATAACTCTACACGCCCAAAAATTGACGGGAGCCTGATTCCACTACGCTGCCTTACAATATATTTACCGTGATCACGTTTAGCGGAAAGGGCAGGGGCTCTGGTGGAGGTTTTGGGGTCATCTTGTAACTGATTAACTTCTGAGAGCCGTCAGTGTCCTGGGTGGTACCCTTGGTCTTCATCAGGGGCGTGGCCGAGGACCAGTCCGTGCCACCAGGAACAGTCACAGTGGACAGCACCTCTGTGAGCGAAAGAATAGCTGATGAAATCAGATTACGCAATCCGGATAGAAGCAAAAATGATGCAAGCAATACGGATACATGCAGTATGATTAATACTGTTGTCTATTAATTTTAATAGAATCTGAAGCAGTACAAAGAAGCAGACCAGACAGAGGTAATCTGGATTTAATATGAACACATCGTGTGGCCAGGAACATTAATTATACTATTGTCTATTAATCTTAATGAAAGTACAAAAAGGATTGAGGCAATCTAGATAATATATAAACACCCCGTGTCGCCTGGAATCAGCTTTGCAAATCTAGCAAATAAAAACAAACAAAAAAACAAAACAAAAACATTACCGACGAATTCACGGTGATAGTTGATATTTCAAGCCCCATCAATACAGTCGATTAATAAAGACGCAGACTGCTTTGACCCTGCCTGTCAAGCCTGGAAAGGGAGGGATACAACGTCCCAGTAGAAAGACAGAGATACTCGATAAAAAAGTTGTCTCCCCACGCCTACGACAATGGTTCGCCTAACCGCTACACAACAGACGTCCCCCCCCCCTAAAAAAAGTCAATAAAACAACAACAGCAACAACAAAACAAAAAACAAAAAACAAATAACAATAATGTTTTTTTAAACAAAGCAATAAAAAGACAAGAACAAAACAAACAAACAAACAACAATTAATGTATATATATACCGTGGTCTATATATATATATAGTTTATAAAGAGAGAGAGAGAGAGGGAGAGAGAGAGAGAGAGAGAGAGAGAGAGAGAGAGAGAGAGAGAGAGAGAGAGATAAGTGGAGGGAGAACGGAGACAGGGTCAAAGAGAGATATACCGAGAGGGACAGATAAACAGACTGACGGACATACTAGCAAAAGACTTACTTGACACAAAATTTCTCTCCCTGGTCTCTATCTGTACCATGCTGAAGCTGTGTGTACGTTGTACAGCTCAGAGAGTTCTCTGGAGGTAATCAGGTCACAGACACAGGTAATAACAATAATGACGCTAGTCTGGAGCAGGCTATAATAATAATTATGTCACGGCGCAGTGGATTCAGGTGCTCGTCAATTTTTGGGCACATGGAGTTATTGGTAACACCTTAAATAATAAAGTACTAACTTATCTTATCTTATCTTATCTTATCTTAAAGCTTATTCAATAATTTGGCTTTCAATGAAAGAAGTACCCATCTATCTTGAGTAGAAATCGAAATATTTGCGACTGAAAGAGGTAGGGGTTGTCTGGTGTCAGACATTATGAATCTCTTAACTATAAACAATACAATGCATAAAATTTAATGTTTCTATTTCTAAAATGAATGATAATAATAACTTCTATAGTGGCCACGGCTCAAGGTGCTTTACAATATCTTTATCTTAACACAAAATGCATGTGCATAACAACATCCCAGCAGAAACACCTAGATACTCCATAATAATAATAATATAAAAAATTCCACTTAAGATTAACATTAACATTAAGCTGACATTCATACTATCATCACAGCACAGTCATACTACTACTACTATGGCACAATCGATGACGATATGCGTATAAATGCGAAACATAAGAGTTCCAAGAATAAAAAAATAATTGTTGAGACATATTTTGTGACGTGAACGTTGCCCCTCAATTGCCTTATCTCCGAAAGAGGAATTAAGCCTCGGCCTTTAATAGTTAAATCCAACAAAGACGACTTAAAAGGATTTCAACCTCTCTAACCCCCCCCC